GAATGTGATCCATGTTGTAAACATCCTTCATATTTTTTTCTCACATATATTTTATTTGAGGCAGTACTAGAGGCCCTGAGGCAGTAATAGACCATAACGACAAACTCATAAAATGTAAGAAACTTTGAAAGATATTTCCATAACTCTTCAACTAACTGACTGGAATGTTATCATGACTTCCCCAGTCATCAACATTATAAATGATAACACAAGGTAATACACTTGGAATTTGGAAAAGCTTTGGGAAAAATGTATACCTAATGAACACAGAATATATCTGAGTGCAGAAGAAAAAGTGATTTCATTTTTGAAAATAATAATCTCTGAACACCTTTGAGCTATTGATGACTCATTCACTGACAACCTCAAATTAATGATTAATTCACTAACACTTAGGGTAACTGATTCAAATGAGCTGGGTAATAAATACTGTTAATATCTACTAAAATGTATTTTAAAATCAACTAAGAATATTTTCTCACTGCTTCAGTTATTAAAAATTATGAGCTTTGTTTAATTTTGAAATAAAGTAAAAATAGAATGCCTTTTGCTGTGCATGGGTTTTCAATAAGCAGTAAAAACATACGGCATTCTCATCTCTCAATCCCCCAAATCCCACACTTCTCCTTTCCCTCTTCCTTGTCTTCCTACCTTCCTTCTAGTACATGTAGTTCATTGAATATGGATGGAAATGACTCATTTTAGTTCCACAGATCTTGTTCAAAGATAATATAATGGCTCAGAAGGGCATAATGGCATGATTTTCATGGCGTTGTTGTAGCTAATATATTAAAATACAGGAAATCAATGTATAAAATAAATACTAAAAATTCCCATTCCAAACGCTGCCTCCTCTAAAGACAGTCTCTAGTGTATCAGCCTTCCCAACTACCCCCACACACTTCTAACAGGTGATGAAAATTTCAACACTGTTATTTTCTGCTTGAAACTTTAGATACTTTTCTCTTTACCAGTCCTGATAAACCCAATATCTATTCATCAGATTTTGAACGTACGTTTTTAAAAAATTTGATTTGATTTTAATTGATACAGATACTGGGCAACTACAGTCCTGGATTCAAGTACTGATTTTGCCACTTGTGCATTCCACTGGGAAGTCAGTTCTATATCTTCATTGCTTCTAAATTCCAGGTTTTTATGTTTCCATTAGCAAGTATTTGCTCTTTTGTATCACAAATATTGTGAACTTGTCTAGGTTATGAACAATTACAGTGTAAACAAAAATCTCTAAATTTAATTCATAGAACACATACACTGCTGGAGACACAATCTAGACTGTTTGGAAATAAGAAATAACAAACTAGAGAATTGTCAGAAATCTCAAATTATTAGGTGGTGAATTAATAGGGGAGAAGACAACAAAATAGTAATTTTCTTAATCATTTTTAATGTAAAACAACTACTGAACCAACCAGTAGTAGAAAGTAAAAAGGAGAGAATATAAGTTTAAGATTATAAAGAAAACCAACTTGATATTTTGAGAACGACAAGATTCTATGTGTTGAGGTTTCCTGTTTCCTCTTCATTACTTATCTTTTCTTGCTCTGTCAAAAAAAAAAGAAATACAAGTAAGTTTACCAAAGATGTGTTTCATGAATAGGAATTGATCTGCCAACATACCAAGGTTGAGTGACCTAATTCTGTCACTTTAATGAGCCCTGTTCTTGGGCAGGCCTGATTTTTAAATTACTACGTCAAGAAGACATCAATGAGCATACGGGGCTTCAATAAAGCTGGCCTTTTTTCCCTTGTGCCACTATCCTGAGAGAAATGGCATATAGAGAGAAACCAACTGAATTATATCAGTTTGAATTCAGATCACAAAGGACTTAAATAATTAAATGGGGATCTGATTCAATATCAAGGTTATATACTATTATTGATATAAGGTCTAAAATAGAATTACATATTGGGGGGAGGGTAACAGGGCAATTCATTGAAAGTAAGAGACAGGATAATCCATGTATGGCTGTTCTTACAGTTCCCACTAAGAGAACAAATGATTAAGATCTTTGACTCATCCAAATACCATAGCAGCTGGGCATATATCACCGGGCAGACCAACACTTTAATGTTTAAAACCAGCAGGACTGGTTTCTACACAGACTTTGAGAGGAAGATTCATTCCCATGCTTTTTCCAGCATCTAGAGCTTCGTTCCTTGCATTTCTTGGCTTATGGCTTTTCCTTCCACCTTTAAATCCAGGATTGTAGCATCCTTCATTCTCTCTGGTTGGGTGACATTATCTCTTCTCTAGTTCAATCTTCCTCTATCTCCTTTTTATAAGGGCCCTTGTGATTACACTGGGCCTGCCTGATAACCCAGGATAATCTCCCCCATCTCCATAACCTTAGAGTTGCAAGTCCATAGTGCCATATGAGGTAATATGCACAGGTTCTGGGAAATAAGACACGGACATTTTTAGGAGGTCTTATTCACCCTACCACAGGGTTTATACTTGGGGATAGGGTGGAGACAGGGTAAAGATTAGAAAGCTGTTAGGTGGCCAATTTCAGAGAGTAATAGCACAGATGTCTTGAATGCTCACTATGTACCCACCCAGACACCATTCCGGACCCTCTATAAGCATCAACCCATTTAGTCTACAGCAACTGGAGAGTAGGGCTGCCAGCTGGTTGGTCCACACCAGTGGTCTTGCCTCAACACTTCTCAGCACTTCTGATGGTCAGTGTCCATGCCCAGGCCACTCAACCAGAAAGTGGCAAAGCTAGGTGCAAATTCTGGTCCTCTGGCTCCAACATCCATTGAGTCCAGCCACTCTGCTCTCCTGCCATTCCTGCTCTTGTCATTTGAGAAGTAAACTGCAGCAAAGAGATAGTGACAGGCAGGGGATCTTCACCCAAAGGCACCAAGAACCCTGAATCTTTAGAGTTAGGACTTTGTAGCTTATGATTTTATTCATCGCACTTCACAGTTGAGGAATTTAAAGCTTGAAATTAAGAAAGTAAATTAAAATCAAATTAATCAAAATTGAGAGATTAAGTGATTTCTCAAGGCTACACAGCTAGTGTGGTAAAGCCATTGGGGACATCCTGTCCTCTTCTTACTTACTCAAGGCTAAGAACAATCACTCAGCTCTTGCACTTTTCATAGGCACACCCCATTTTATGGGCTGAATTATGTCCCCCACCCCCAAATTCATCTGCTAAAGTCCTAACCCCCTGTACCTCAGAATGTAACCATATTTGGAGATTGGTAGGGCCTTCAACAAGGTGGTTAAGGTGAAATGAGGCCTATAAAATGGGCTGCAAATCCAATATGACTAGTGTCCTTAAAAGAAGAGAGAGACACGAGAGATGTACATGCCAAGGGAAGGCCCTGTGAGGACACAGGGAAAAGACAGCCTTTTGTAAGCTGAGGAGAGGAGCCTCAGGAGAAACCGGACACCTTGATTTTGGAGTTCCACCCTAAATCTGTGAAAAAACAAATGACTATTGCTTAAGCTATCCAGTCCGTAGTATTTTGTTCTGGCAGCCTCAGCAAATGAATATGCCCCATGTATGTAGGCCACAGGCCTTAGAAACTCCGGGTTGGAGGCAGCTTATCCCATGGTCCAGATTCCTGGGGTTTCCCAAAGAAAGAAATGGAGTTCCTAGATGATTTTCAGTATTTATGAAACCCTAAGGGAAATGTACAAAATGCAGTCTAACTAAAATTCCTTTTGGGTGTACTTGTATCAAGTTAGTATGGTAACCTCAGCTGTCTGATATTAATCTGAGGCTTTAATTAGCAATGTGTATCTGATTAACTTAAAATGAGAAAGTTAAGATTTGTATTTATTCTAATTATTTATAATAAAGTCGATTTGTTTGGTAAACAAAAATCTCAGGCATTTTAATGGAGAGAAGCTTGAATAGGAATCACTGCTTTGAGCCCCACTTCCTGTATTTCAATCCTCCAAGACCCATGCTGTTTAATCCTCTTAAAATTGACAGAGCTCTTTCATGGGTGAACTGAGCAAATTATATGGCTTTAGTCATCTGTCACATAAGGAGTGCTGAGAGCCATTGTTTTCAAATCTGCGAGTATCACTGACATTTGCTAGATGCCATATATCTGGTTATTTTTCTGAGAGTCAATGAAATCTAAAGTGAAAATGATCCCAATTGTATTAATGATATATATAATGATATGTATATGATATATCATTATATCATGAGAGCCAATACCTCTGTGTATGTGTGTATATGTATATGCATACACATACATACACACACACACACACACACACATACACACACACACACAGATTTATTTTGAGGGATTGGCTCTCATGATTGTGGAGGCTGAGAAGTTCCACAATTTGCCATCTGCAAGCTAGAAAGGCCCAGGGAAGCTGGCAGTGCAGGTGTAGTCCAAACCTGAAGGTCTAAGAACCAGGGGTGCCAAAGGTGTAACCCATAATCTGAGGTTGAAGAGCCAAAGGATCAAGGGCACCCATGTCCAAGGGCAGGAGAAGATTAGATATCCCAGGTCAAGCAGAAACAGCAAATTTGCTTTTCCTCTGCCTTTGTTCTCTCCAGGCCCTCAACAGAGTGGATGATATACACCCAAACTAGGGAAGGTGATCGTTTTTTACTCAGTTTACCAATTCAAATGCTAATCTCTACTGGACACACCCTCACAAACACATCTCAAAATCTGGGGCATCCTTAGTGCAGGCAAGTTGACACATAAAGTTAACGATCACACCGTGAGAATAAAATATGAAAACAGCCTAATTCAAAAGGTGGAATAGACCCAGCTCTTTAATCTAATAGAAGCAAAACAAAAAAGCCACAGCACCAACATGTCCTAGAGTATCAAGCATAGATACTGTCAATAGATGTATCTGAAAATATACTCATGTATATTTTTTAAAAAGTATATACTTTCAAAGCATATATTTGAAAAAAAACTTTAAACAGAAACACACTATTTCAAAAAATCATAGCAAATGTATGAAGAACACAAATTTCTATGAAGAACAGAAGTTTATTAAATGCTTTATAGTAAAATATTGGGCCCACTCTGTTACAATACACAGGCTTGATGTTCTAACAAGTCAGGAAAACTCATGATGCCAGTACAGGTGGATTGTGGGGAGCTACAAATAGAAATATATCTTCCTTTTCTTCCACAACAACTGTAATACTGATGTTCAGAAATGTTTAGGCATTGGAAAAAGCCTATAAAATTTCCTGAGTATGCCATTAAACAATTCTTTAAAATTATGTTACCTTAATGGAAAACATGAAGATATTTTGATGGAAACATCTATTTGAATATTTATTATCTTCAGTAACTGAGAACCACAATCCTAAAAATGTATTATACTATAAGAAAGTCTTTGGAGTTATCATAAGGCTTTCCAGCACAAGGTAAATTTCAAGGCAATTTGTCAAGGACTAAATTTTCTTGAACCATCAAGCTAGTGATATGCGAAGATAAAAAGAAATGTCAAGGTAAGCTGATTATCTCCCAAATAACAGGATCCAAAAAATACTGGGGGGAAATAGGGTGTGGGAATGAGTGCATATTGGGTGATTATACAAATGAGTAGGAAAATGTACTGAGACTAGTTAGCATTAACTACCGTATAATATATTTTCATTCATTAGTCGACATTTTCTTTATGTATATAATTACTTCAGGAAAGCATTTCTAAAAACTAAATTGGTTCATTCATCAAGCCAAAGTTTGATTCTGAATATCTAAATTTATAGCTAACAGCATTTTGATATTTACCCCTAAGAGTGGCTGGCATTCTTAGCATGGTTCCCAAATACCTGGCTTCTTGATAAAATATTACTAAAATAGAACTGATGTTGAAAAATACTACCTACCTAGAACTCACAGTACGAGTCACAACCAACTGAACCAATTCATATCAATTAGCTCACACAGAACTAAACCAATTTAACCAATTCATGTTAGCTCACCCTGTTCTGAAAGAAAATAATTTTACTAATTCTATATGAAAGCAATTACTCAGAAAAATCATAACTAAGATTTTCCCTTACACTCATTTATAAAGACATATTGAGTCTTGGGCCTAAATTTGGTACTTCTAGTCCACACTTTGGTATCTTACCTTTTCCAAACTGACCATCAATGGAAGAACTTAAAGCAAAGGAGCTTTACTTCAGATGGAAGCATTTTGTAATCATATTAATAAGAGAAAGCATGCCTTCAATGGAATGGAAAAAAATAAAATCCTATCTGATAATAAAGAATACTGCATTCCTAAGTAACCCAAACATACAACCACCTCCATCAGAGAATTAAGCAGTCAGGTCTAATACACTACAAACCATTTGATTAAAAGGGTTTATAACCAATGCCTTAACAAGGAAAGACTGGTGAAAATAGTTTTAAAATATATAGCCTTGTAAAATGATATCTTTTTTAATATTAAAACCTTGTTTCAGAAGTTCCCCGTTTTAGGTTGTTACTCAAGAACTCATCATGTTCAAAACTCAAATTATTGTGAGATCTTGAAATCATAAGAAGCTTCTCCTTATTGGTAAAGTCTTTTTTCATTGCAGCTTGGGGCACAAGCAACCTCTCCATTGGGTCCTCTTTGTTCTCTAGTTTCATATATCCTTTGCTGTTGCTTCTATCCAACCGGGGCCAGCTTGGATGCTTCCGTTGTTCTGCCTGAACAGTAAGGGTGGAGGGACCCCGGTCTAAGTCTAAAGATTTTGAATGGGATGAGAGCAAATGCAAGGATGTGTTGGACCCAAACTGTCTCCTAGCAGCCCCGGGAGACAAGAGCTGTCCAGCCCCAGGTCCAAGGGCCACAGAGGACTTGTGCTGACTTGACAACGACTCCCCCATGGAATTATTCCGCGGGAACACTGTGCTGACCGGCTTGAAGGACTCACTGGTGTTGGGCAAAGGGACCACAAGGGAATCCATTGACAGGTTCCTTGACCTACTTTTGAGGTTCTCAGCATCCTCGGTGATGTTATCTATACTGGGTTCATCAATAACACAGTTATTAAGCTTGATCACAGGCAGTGTAAAAGCACTGATGGATGATGACACAATTGTCTTGGTTTCACATTTCTTAGGGGCATTGGTCTTATCATTGGTTGTCTTGGAGGAAGGTGGACAGAGGCCAAAGACAGACACAGAGCTGTCAGACAGCAAAGGTGGCATAAGATGTCCCAAACTCTTGCTTTCATCGAGTACAAGTTCATCCTCCTCAACGGAGCTGTCCATCCGAAAACTGCTCCTAAATCCCGAGAAAGAGGCAATGGTGTTTGCCGCCAGTCTCGAGGCACAGGAGTTTCCGTTCTGTTTTACTTCAGTTTCTCCCATCAAACCAGTGTAGATGCCATTCATATGCTTTTGCTCCTTGATTCTTAGCGTGTGGATGTCGATGACGGTGGAATAGATATCCCTCATGTGGATGATTTTGGTTTCTTTGTCACGGTTCTCGTGAAGTATGGCATTAGCACAGATGAAAACAAAAATGCCGATTCCCATTGTGAAAGGACCGAGTAGTTTCATTTTGTCCGAATGTAAATGCTGCTCAAAGAAGCGAACCACCACACCACCTTGGTTCCTAATGACCTGAGTTTCGTTTGTTGACAGTGTTGTCTCAGCATCAATAAAATGTTCTTTTTGGGGCCAATATCCAAGGACAGCCATTGCAATTCCTGCAATGGAGATAAGCACTCCTAAAATGAGGAAAAAACCAGATGGGGAATAAAGCCGGATTTTGCCTCTAACAACCACAACGTCCGCCCGAGGCCGACGCCTGACTGGTTTCTTCTCTTGAGTAGCAGGGGATGGGCTGAGGTTGACATGATGCTGTGACCTGGCCGAGTCTTGCCTTTTCAACGCGGCCAGGCCAGTTATCACTCCACCAGTTGCTATCATAGCTTGGTCTTTTATTCTGAAAAGAAGGGAAAAAGATGATAATCTAAATATGTTGGGGGGTATGCTCATCAGTTCAACCATTATTTATATATTTTTGTAGTTGTTTCATATAATGAAATGGAACAGAAGAACATATTTTTGACATAGTTTTGTTTACTAACTAACGTACAATTCTGTAGATTTCCTCTTTGGCTGAATTAGTGTTTCTTTTATCAATGAAAGGTGAGCTCAAGGTATATTGTACTCAAATAATTTTATCACTTATTATATGAAACAGTCTCCTGGTCACAAGATACTCTTTCTCTTGCGCGCGCACACACACACACACACAAACACACACACACACACTCCTATTGATTATCTGTGTTATTTTAAAGAAATGGAAAAATCCCGAACACTTAATAGGACCCAAACAATCAAACCATAGACTTAACAAAAAGAATATATTGCACCAACCCATGATTCCCAGACTACTCTTATGAAAGTCATCAGTGAACTCCTAACTACCACATTTAATTTCTCCCTCTCAATTCTCATCTTTCTCACTTCTCTGTCTCCATGACAACTGATGACCCTTTCTTTCTTGAAATTCTCTCTTGTCCAGTCTTTTATGACTCTAAGTCTTCCCTGGCTTCACTGACTATTTCAATTTTGGCTCAACGTCCCTCACTGTAAAGGTACATCATCTTCCCTTGAGAGCCGTGGCCTTGGCCATCTACTCCTTACAGACTCCCACGGCATTCATATCCTCTCCTACACCTTCCACCATTTCCTTTATGCTAATGGATCCCAAGTCTGTATTTCAAATCATAGCCTAAGTTTCAATTTCACATTTCCAGCTCTCCACTGGAGAACATATGTACATTCCTGCACTGCCCAGCAAAGCTGAGCTCACATCTCACAGGTCTGCTTGCCTTGTCTGACTTTTTTCATGGTGTCAGTTCCCAGACTTGCCTCTTCCGTTATCTTTAAATTCTCCCTTTCTTCTTCCTCTCATTTTTCAGTCAGGTTCTGCATCCCAGACATTTTTACTGTATAATGCCCCTCAATTCTACCTCTCCATTCCAATCCTACTCTTTGCAGCCCAGTGCAGCTCTCACTATCTCTTACTTGACCATTACAAGACCTCCTGACTGGTCTTCTAAACTCCAATTTCTCCTCCTCCACAATCGAGCTCACACACTGAAGGCAGATTCATCATCTGTTAAATTATCCTATTACACAGCTCTCAAGTTGTTTAAAGATGGAATAATGGATAAACTATTCCCTACCACCTACCAAAGTTTAATCTGGGATTTCAGACCCATGAAATTTAGCTTTATCTCTTAACTGCTCCTTTTCATTTATGTAAAACTAAAGCCCAGTAATACTCCCTATACTCCATACTACACTGTTTCTGAGACTTTGCTAATGTTCATCCATCTAGATTCTCTAGCTAGACCCCCTTCACTTCACATATTAACATGTGGCTGCTCATAATCCACTTCGGTAAAGCATCCTCTGGCTGATTCAGCAGTCCCACACAAGTTCTCATTCTCAGAGCTCTCGTTCTTCATTTTAGCAAGTTTTCTATGGCACTCGCTGTAATGTTTCTGTTCTTCTACTTGTGGTCAAGAGTCAAGTTTAACTCATATATTTATTACCAGAAACATTCAATATAGCACCTTGCACATAACTAGTATTCAAGAAATACTTGCTAAAATGCTCAATAAGGGGGGGATAATTCTTTTTCTGAAATTTGCTGGATGACCCTATTACTATACAACTTTCCCAGTTAAACATATGAACAAACAAATGAACACCAAAACAAAAAGCAACATTTTGTGAGTAAAAATTCTGTGGTAAAATATTTGTCATTATTTGTAATGAACATTTCTCAAGCTGCCAGATCTGGCTGGTAGGAAATGGAGGATATTTTAAGACCCACAAGGTCTCAGGCAAATTTCTGAGAGTGTTTCTTCATGGCATTAGCACTGGGGAAATCGAGTTCTTCCTTTGAATGTCTGTTTATGATTTCTGAATTGTGTTTAAATAACGGGGTTGTGGATGGTATCTACAGTTTTAGTTAGCTGAACAAGCTGGTGAGTAAAGCAGTCTTCACTGGAATTATAACTAGGATTAAAATAGTTTAACACTGGAAGAACAAACATTGCAAACTATTACAACCCATAGCTCTAGTCTGTGAGTTTACTGAAGCACACACACTGTAGTTTAGAATTTCTCACAAACCTTGGCTAAAACAAAGCTTAGTTTCAACCTCTGTTTTCTTGAACCAAAAATAGTTGCAGATGTTTGAGTACAATGTTTAGATTAGATAGCAGCCATCTCCCTCAGTTATATCCATATAGCAGGGTAAGATTTCATCTGAAATCCTTCTCAATAGAATGAAACAAGGGAAGAAGGCTTTCATCTGCAGTAAAAGCAGCCACTGTGAATTACCATTCCACACAGATTCCAAGTCCTCCCCCACTTGTTAAACCATTCTCTGCAAAGCATTGCCATTTTCTATTCCTATGGCTCATAGAGGAAAGGTGGCTAGAAGAGAAAAAAATATTGTGAGAAAGATAGAGAAGGATAAATTGGTGGAAAAGAGCAATGAGGGACTGGGCTCCTCTGAGAGCAAGCAAAGCAGGTTAGACTAGACAGGGAGAAAGAAACAGGGCACTTAAGAGTGTGGACACTGATGGACAACGAAAGGACAGAAGACTCCTGGAGGAGTTCAGGAGTGAAGGATAGAAGGGGGAAGTGAAAGGGTCACAGAGCTCTTCAGCCAGTCTACCCATGGCCAGGCCCAGACAGGGGCAGGCACCACTAGGGGTCCACGACTCCTGAGGATTGGCAAGCTCAGGCTGGGTACCAATGAAGTATGGTTGATGTACAATATTATATTGGTTTCATGCATATAATATAGTGATTTGACAATTACACGTATTTACCTTGAAGAGAATAAATGTTCTCCTTTTATTCCACTCAAGGCAATTCAACACTAAGTGAGCCTTTGTTATGAATCACTGCCCCAAGCTGACCCTGAGGGGAAAGCAAAGGTGGGTAAACTCAGTCACTGCTTAAGAGCCAGAAACCTCCTGGAGGAGATAACATAGCTAAGCGAAACCCAGTGAGATAACCCCTAACCCCTAGCAGGCACGTTCAATTAGGGAGGCCCTTTACAACAGGCTTCCTGAAGGGAACAGCATTCTAATATTTACCTCAGGAACAAAGTCAAGTGAATGGCATTTCAGGTGAGGTCAAGATAAAGAAAGCCTGGTGAACAGTCTCTGGCCTGCCTCCCGTCCCCAGCTCAGTGCTGACAGAGGAGAGCGGATAAGGCTTGAAAGGAAGGGCTGGCCTAGGTCTTGGAAGGTAGCAAGTGTCATTCCTTGATGCTTGACTTTTACACTCCTACTCAATGGAGTTGGAGTAAGCAAATACTACGTGCATAATCTTAGGAAAATTAATCTCAACTTGCAGATAAAAGCAGTAAGGAGGGGCTGATCTTGGGAATGGCATGTGGATGCTAAAGGCAGTTTTACAATAAGAAACCCAGTGAATAAAAGAAAACCATAAAACCCAGAGTTACCTGTGTCTTCAACCTGCAATGTCAACTTGCTCCAAAGGGCTTCAGTATATGCAGGAACAGCCTTAATCTTTTTTATTTATGCTACAAAGCCACTTGTCCCCAACCCTACACTTTTATCCCTGCCTTTTTTTTTTTTTTTTGATGTTGGGGAGATAGGGACCCTGTTGACTACAGTCTTCTTATTGTTACAAACTGTAAGATTCTTCTAAGTTTTAATAGTAACAATTGTAATAATAATAGTTACACACACTGCTTGTGGTCAGGCACTGTTTTAAGTGCTTTAGGTATAGGAACATACTGATTCTCACAACAATTCTGGAAGTGGGTAACATCATTATGATCTCCACTTTGCAGATGAGAAAACTGAGGCCCAGAGAATTAAGGTAACTTGTCTGAGGTCATGCAGCTTAAGGGTAGGTCCAGAGCCTGTGCTCTCACAGAATCTGAGATGGAACTAGGCCTCCAAATTTGCTTCCATTTCAGGTTTTCTTTCCCAGGCAGACTTCTTATTTTGATTCTGGTTTCCATCAGAACATACTCTAAAGAATGCTCTTTGACTTTACAAATGTGACTATGGACCAATCATCTTCCATTTCTCAAGTTACAGTAACCACCTGGGAAAAGCCATGGGGAATGGATGAGCTTGAAGGCTGTCCTTGGGTGAACATCTGGCCTCTGACCCGTCTACATTCCCTTCAGCATATGAAGGTGCAGACTCAGAACACACCCCTCTATACCTCTATACTCCTCCTCTTTGCTCTCTACCATCCCTGACAGGGAAGGACTGGGACACACATCCTCAAAGTTCCAAGAATCTTACTACACTGAATTTCATTTTGTTAACTTGGGCAGAGAGATTTTATTTATCAATCTCTCTTCATCCAAAATTTCACCCAAACTTTTGGAACTTGAAGAAAAGCCCTGTGGTATTTCACTAGAAACCTCCTCCTAGATAGACATTGTTACTTTGTGTAGATATTCATTCATGTAATTACCAAAACTGATACCTGATACTGCAATTATAGTTATAGGGATCAAAATATGTATCCTGGTCTGAAGAATATCATGATTAGCAACTCTCTATTTGAGGAGGCCATTTGCCTAGGTGTAAATAAACTTAAGCAGAAGGTCAGTCACACTCAGTTTCCCTATTCTCCAAAAAGATACCATGATTTTGTTAAAAGCCAAACTAAAAGACAAGTAGGTATATATTCTTCTCTTGACACCAAAAAGAAATTAGTTTGGCTACATGTTAATCATCCTGTTTTCCATTCCCAGTGTTCATAAACTAGCCACACCTTTGTTAGCAACAGCCATCAAGACTACCAGTTTACAATTTGCACAACACACCTTCTTCCTCACTGCAAATCTGGATCCTGCTGGGCCATTTCCAGGCCTTTACCATCACAGCCATTATTTGCAGGCCTTGGAAATCATCA